TCTTACCCTCATTACCTCTGCCCGCCCTACCACCTGTCCTCTGGACCCTATCCCTTCAAACCTCCTTCAGACTATCGCTCCTGATATTCTACCGTTTCTCACCCATTTCATCAACACTTCTCTAACTTCTGGTCACTTTCCAAACAGTCTCAAGGAGGCAAGAGTAAACCCTCTCCTAAAGAAACCCACTCTCAACCCGTCTGATGTTATAAACTACAGGCCTGTCTCTCTCCTCCCGTTCCTGTCTAAATCACTTGAACGCGCTGTCTTTAAACAACTCTCCTGTTATCTCAATCAGAACAACCTTCTGGATCCGCACCAGTCTGGTTTCAAGGCAGGTCACTCCACAGAAACTGCTCTCATTGCTGTCACGGAGGAACTGCACACTGCCAAAACTGCATCCCTCTCCTCTGTCATCATCCTGTTGGACCTGTCTGCTGCATTTGACACGGTGAATCATCAGATCCTCCTTCGCACTCTCCAAAAACTTGGAGTTTCAGGCTCTGCACTTTCCCTCCTCACCTCATACCTGAAAGACCGTACCTACAGGGTGACTTGGAGAGGGTCTGAGTCCGACCCTTGTCAATTAACTACGGGGGTCCCTCAGGGCTCTGTTCTTGGTCCCCTCCTCTTCTCCCTGTACACAAACTCGCTCGGATCAGTCATTAGCCCGCATGGTTTTTCTTACCACTGCTACGCTGATGACACCCAATTAATTCTGTCCTTTCCCCGCTCAGAGACCCAGGTCGTTGCACGCATCTCTGCTTGTCTAGCTGACATCTCTCAGTGGATGTCTGCTCACCACCTCAAGCTCAACCTTGACAAGACTGAGCTGCTCTTCCTCCCGGGAAAAGATTGTCCCACTCTTGACCTAACAATCAACATCGGCACCTCAGTTGTTTCCCCGACTCAGACTGCAAGGAATCTGGGTGTGACCCTAGATAACAACCTGTCCTTCACTGCAAACATCGCTGCTACAACCCGTTGCTGCAGATACACGCTTTACAACATCAGGAAGATACGTCCCCAACTGACTCAGAAAGCGACTCAGGTTCTGGTCCAGGCTCTCGTCATCTCACGCCTAGACTACTGCAACTCCCTCCTGGCTGGTCTACCTGCATGTGCCATCCGACCTCTGCAGCTCATCCAGAATGCAGCGGCTCGTCTGGTCTTCAACCTTCCTAAATTCTCCCACACCACTCCGCTCCTCCGCTCCCTTCACTGGCTTCCGGTAACTGCTAGAATCCACTTCAAGACACTGGTACTTGCTTACCATGCTGCGAATGGATCTGGCCCTTCCTACATCCAGGAAATGGTTAAACCGTACACCCCAGCGCGTGCACTACGCTCTGCATCAGCCAAACGACTCGTTGCGCCCTCGCTGCGAGGGGGACCCAAGTTCCCATCGGCGAAAACACGTGGGTTTGCTGTCCTGGCTCCAAGATGGTGGAAAGAGCTCCCCATTGACATCAGGACGGCAGATAGCTTGCACATCTTCCGGCGCAAACTGAAAACTCATCTCTTTCGACTCCGCTTCGAGCGTTAGAACTATTAACGAAGCACTTTTATACTAATAAAGGACTGGCTTACCTAAAGCCAGTTGAGTAGCACTTGAAATGTTTGGCTCTATGAAACCTGATGTACTTATATGATTCTGTTTTCTTCAAGGTTGTGTCTTCCTGGTCGAATGTACTTATTGTAATTCGCTTTGGATAAAAGCGTCAGCTAAATGCAATGTAATGTAATGTAATGCATGGCCCTCGAATGACCCCCCATGACGCCGACCCTGGTGTGATCGCTTAGCAACTGAACTCCGTGAAAAATAAACACCACTAAGGGTCAAGGGTTTTTGTTATCAGATTCTTTCACACACAGTGACGTCACGAGCTACCCACAATGCAACGCGCGCCATATATATATATATATAAATACGCCATTTTCCTGGAGGTGCTAATATCCTGGAGGTGCTAATATAAACAGCTAGCAAACGTAGCCAGGCAGAGCGCACTAGGTTTTTTTTCTGAATTAACGACCGAAGAAATCGCTGCATGTCTTCGGATTACATCTCTGGACTTGAGGGGTGTGCTCTAGGTCGTTACCAGCGTAAACTAGAGCTGTGTGGGTTGTCGGATTGCCCTTACAGACTGCCTGCAGATGTATGGAAAAACGACTCTCGAAAGTGGCCTTCGGTCGATTTTGGCAGCATCTACGTCTATCTTCTGGAACCACCAGGTGAATACCCCACTTGTCACAATAATATTATCATGCCAATGCATATATGTGGTATTTTAGAGTTGACTATATTGATTAAGGCAATAGACTATGATATTCTGGTTGCACCTCGTGTGAAATGGCGGATACCGGAAGTACGGTGTCGCCCTTGGCCCAAAACCCGTATATGTGTGTGAAAGCAGTGTAATTTTGGCATTTCAAATCTTAGATCCCAAGCTCCTCCAACAGTGCAACATAATATAAATAGGACATAATAAGAAAATAAATAAAGATAAATAAAAAATAGTGCAAAATGCACCACTTTGGTTCAAATTATGAAACCAGTAGATTCATTTATTTATTTATTTGTGTTACCCCAGCTAAATCGATGTTAATCCATTTATGTGGTTGTGGAATTACGTTACGTTGTGCGGTCGCGTAGTAAGTGAACACCATGCTACCGATTACTATCCGATGACCATGGACATCGGCTACAACCTCCTCTCTGTCTGACTTCGCCAAGCAGGTAATGTGCTGCACCGTGTTTATTGCAAGTAAATCAGTTGTAGTTACATATATTTTTAAAGCACGAGCTAGCTAAACACATATTAGCTTTACTTGACCGGAGATATAGTGCAGTGATGAGTCCTATAACCCGGAAGTGAGTTAGCATTTTACAACTATTGGTCTCAGAGTCAATGGGATTTCTCCATAGGATTTTGGAAAATAGCTCGAAATAAGATCTGTGGAAAACGAACCTGCTTGATAAATGCACGTTTTGTTCAGCCGGATAATCTCCACATATCTACCCTACTTTTATACTTTTCGAATCATAAATCTAATGGCCAGAAGCCAAATGCTAACGTTATGCTATAAACGAACTACAGACCATGGATGTATAATAAGGACCTTTAGAATAATTACCTTTTTAGAAGTACACCAAAACATAACTGCTAACAATGTAAATGCTGTGTTGGAAAAAAAGTGAATGTAAGAAAATGTTGAGTTAAATACTTTTGGCACTGTATATACAAAGCTTGGAAAAATGCCTATTGTGGCTGTCATACTTGCATACAGTGGCAACTAATAGTATTGTGAAGAAATGTCATGACAACCATCTACAGACTGTTACTGCACGCTGATTGTTGTGGTCCTATTTAGGACAAAACGTTCAGAGCTGTCCTTGTTCCAGTCCGCCCCTGATTGATTAGTGCTTTAACTCGTAAATTACCCCCAATGTTAAAGCTTGTTGATGATATGTGAGATTGTAAATTGTCATGCATTCTAAAGTGTTCACTGTATTTTTTTCCTTCAACAGATACCAAACCAAAGCAAGATCAAACAGCACTTTTAAGAGCCTTTTTCAATTTATTCTCTTCTCCCTCCTCAGAGCTATATTCCCTACATTTATTCCTGTCTTCTCCCCATTTTTACCATCTTCATCTCTGTCTCTTTACCACTTTCTCTTTTGTATTTATATGCACGCAAACACACACACACCTGTCCTGTGTGTGTTTTGATTTCTAGTTCCTGAAATGGCTGCTAAACAAGGCGAGGAACAGCTAGAAGACGCCATTTTCCTTGCCGATTTACTTTGTAAACAACTGAAGGTACATTTTTTAATTTCAATTGTATTGGTTTTGTGCCTGATGTACTGATTAGGTTGATTGATTATGTGCTTGTAATTTTGTAATGCTTGTAAGTGAATAGGAATACACTGGGAATGAAAAGCAGCTTGTTGTGGTAATGCATGACTACTTTATTGAAGGAGGAAGAAGACCGGGCCAGAGCAGCATCTGGCTGGAGCAGAATCCGCTGGGTAGGCAAAGATGCTCAGGGGCGTCCTCTAAAAAGGAGGAACAGAAGTGGGGCAACCTGCCGATGTACTAAAGGTTTGTGCATGTATACAGGTATTCATGATTAACATATCATTTTTGTTTTGATTTTTCGCAACATGATTGGTACAGCATGTTTCAGCTTAGAGAGGTATTGAACAAATATCTGTTATTCCGTCGTAGGCCTACGTATAAAAATAGGCCATTGTAATAAATAGATAGAGTTAGAACTCTTTTAATGCATAACATTTGCCTGCGATTGCCTCCTGTTCTCTGTAATTATTATCTGTTATCAATATATCTATTATTATAATTATTATTTTTCAGCCAGAACTGTTGCCATTAACAGTCCAGTGACTGTGGAACCAGCTGGAGCAACCTCTGCAGTACCCCCTCAGCTTTTTGGTAGGATGACATTTACTATCATTGAAAGTTAGGAAATGTGTCAACATAACATCAAACGAATACGTGATATGCGTACGCTGTTGTGATGCTGAACATTTTCTTTTTTGTTTGTTTCCAGAAGATGAGATTCAGCAATTGCAGGAGCTTTTGGTTGATCAACCATCAACCTCTTCCTCATGGTGCCTGCGCCAAAGTGCTGCCCAATTGGAGTGGCAAAAGGCAAGGTCCCATCACTTGGACAGCTTGCTGTCTTCAACTATGGTACCGGAAAAGAGATGCTCACATTGCTCCGCTCCTGCGGTCGTTCGCTGCAGAGAATGCATGCCCCTTGAATGGTTGTGTCATGACTGTGACATTTCTAAACACAGCATACACACCCTTCATTACAGGGAGTCCTTCAATGAAGGATATTTGAAATGTATTCCCCCAACAATGTCACTAGTCAAGACAAATGACATGTTCACTCTGAGACACCAAAGTATTTCACTTAACACAATTTAGCCCCAAGTGGTTATTTTATAACTTTCCTAATGTGCTGGTAGTTTAAGACATATTTTTAACCTCTCTTCACAGATCGTCTTCTGCCCACTGGTAGGCCTTCAGACTCGTGTAACCCTGAAGGTGTTACAGATCTATAGGCAGGCCTGTCATTTTCGTCTGCATTAATGGTATGATTTTAAGTGTTCTTTTTGTCACCCTAAAACAGGTAATGAATGAGTTTGTTTTTACTAAACTGTGTTTGTTATTAGGGCGTTATGATTTGCATCTCCCCAAGAGGGTGTGCAACACATGCCATTACGAATGGACACCTGATTGGGGAGACCTCATTAGAAGACGGTTACTGGCCAGCTTCTGTGAACGGAGACACGTTATATTCCACGGATGTCTTCAAATCTTTTGAGGACCTGAAGACTGTGGCACCAGGTTTGTCCAGACAGGCCTTTTTACAGATGCTGGAACGGAGGACACAGCATTATGGGAGGGTAAGATGAGTTTCACTAAGTATTGTATAAGTAGAGGGCATTGTGAAAGGATGCATTTTATTTTGTGTAGATGAAATATGTTGATTGGAAATATGTTTATGTCAAAATAACTAAATTGAAAAGCTTACAATGTTACTGAAAGTAGTTTAACTAGTGTTACATTAGAGCTAAAAACCTAGCACTGGTAGATGTAGGACATACTGTAAGATCAAACATATCATAATCCAACTTTTGTTCTTTACTGAAGAACACAATTTGTATGATGAAAAACATTGTGCTCTTCTGTGGGAAAAAATGGCATTCTGTATTGTACTGTACTGTATAGAATCATGGTGCATATGACAAAAGTTGAAATAATGTTCCTTCTCTTCCAGCATCTGCCAATCCTAACCTGACCTTCACTTTTCAGGATATCGTGTGTTAGGGATACTCCTAATAGCCCCCCTCTTGCCTCCAACCACTGTGAAAGTCTTCCTGTTTCCTCGTATTATTCTGACATGTGTAAGGTAACAATTTTGCTTCTCAAACTTCCAGACAGGAAAAATCCATGGAGATGTCTTCCAAAGAAGCTTTCTGGAGTATATGGCCTGCCAGTACGAGTGCCAGAAAATGACGTGTGAGGAACCCTTCTCATGCCCAGCTTGTACTCCCAAAATGTTGGCTGTGTCAGTGGATGGGAATAGGAAGCAGTACCGTTTCCGACAGTCACAGAGGTACATCTTTTTTGTATGTCAATTGAATTTAAGAAGTAGCCTCTCAATAATGACAATAATGAATTGAATATTTATTTTTGAATTTAGGATCGATGAACCACTTTTTAAAGGGCCGTTCATCATGGAATACTCGGCTGTCACAGACTTTGTTGACAAAGTCAGAACAAATGTAAAATGTGTAAGCACAACATTTTTTTCCTATAATTTTTCTAGCCTTTACTTGTTTTGAGAGTGTAACATTAAAATGTCTTTAATTGTAAACCCCAGGAAAAGGTACATGTGGTACCAGCCAGTGGTCAGCTGCTCGAAAGACAGCAAGAAGAGCCAGCAGGCTTGATGAAGAGGGGTTAGAGGTGGCTGTATGTAGACATGGAGTGCTACTGAAATCTCTCAACATGTTCAGAGGAGAAATATTTGCCTACCCCTTGTTCCTTCAAACGCAGTTTCAAGCTACAAACGTGCATTTTTATTGCACAGATATTGCTTGTAAATACTGGCCTTACCTCGAGAAAGTGGCAAAGACAATGCCAGAACTGCAACCTTTGCTGAGCATGCAACCGTTTCTCTCGGTCATGCATGCCAAGGCCCATTCCACAAAGTGTGAGGTAGGCCCACTCTTATATTATTGTGATTGTCAGAATTTTTTTTAATTCATCTATGACATATAATATATGTGTACTTGTTAGATTGTGTGGAGTGGGAGAAATTTGGAGGGTGCTGGTTCGACGGCCGGGGAAGAAGTGGAGATGGTGAACAGCTTTCTGTCACGTTGTGCCATCACAACTAAGTACATGACAAAATCAGGTATGTCCTCTTGTCATTAGACCAACATAATTCTGTCTTGAAGTTATTATCCATCTCTTACTTTACTTTATCTTTGTTGTAGTCTGTTTTTCAACAGTACTAGAGTTTTTATGAGTTGATTTCCAAATACCCAAGTTATATTATCTGCTTGTCAATTTTACTTTTAAAAACAGCTCGCAATGACATGTTGACTGTCCATGCAATGGGATGGAACAGACGGAAGCAGGAAAACCTTCATGTGGTGTTGGCCAAGAGATATGTCAAGGTAATTGGCCATGTAAGCATAGGCATGACAAGATTAGATTTGTAAGGCTAATGTGCAAACCTGTCACAAACAAATAATTGTCCAAGCTGGTAAAGTGTTGGATACTGAGTGCTTGTGCAGGTCTGGAAAAGTTTGAATGATTAATGACTGTTTTCAAGACATGAAAAGTTATGGAAATTTGGGTGAAAATCTTGAAAATACATCTGTATCTGCAACATCTTTTTTACAACAGACAATCACAATGTTGGAGGGTGAGACTCAAAAAATGAAGGACACCTGCAAAGAGCTTGGATGCCCTGAGGACAAAGTACAACAATGGGTTAATGATGTTAGAGACTGGGCAACAAACGGTATGCTGTTTCCTAACTTGATAATATAACATTGTTATTTAACGTATAGTATTAACACCAATTTTTTCTTTGTTCTCAAACTGTGTTTCTTGTTATTTACCCAAGACAACACATCAGGTGACAATCAGTCTCTCCAGATGTCCATTGAGCATCTATTTCTAGGGCTGTGCCAAAAGAAAGCTTGCCTCTATAGACAGACTGGTAAGTTATTATTATTCAGTTGCAGTCATGTAATTAAAAAATTCCATTGAACATTGTTTCTGTAATGTTATTTACAATTACGTCATATAGACAGCAATAAGATTCGGCAGTTGCGTCGCAAAAGGTTAAGGGAGGAAAAGACCAAACTCTTAGCGGCAATACGCCAGTACAACACCGGACAGCCTCCTGAAACAGAAATCCAGGAAGAAGAGGTGGAGAGAAGACTGTCTGCAGAACAGCAAACAACAGACAGTCTAATATGGCCATGGGAAGTGCAAAGTGATGGTAAGAGCTTCTCTTGTTTGTGTTTATATAATATGTTTATTTTCTGGCACTAAGCAAGACCTATAACACCTGCTTCCCAGTCAATGGACTATGACCGGTCACTTATCCTACTGATGCATGTCTTGGTCGGTAATGGTATGCTTGCTGTTCCTCTCTCTTCAGAATCGGTGTCCATTTTGGCCCAAAAAAAAGTCTTCGATGCCTACATGGGCAAAAGGAGACTTGTGGAGGAGAGGGCCATAATTGTGAGGGAGATGAGGCAGCACTGCCTTTATCTGAGAAGTTAGGCTGACAAGATCAGGATGCAGATGCAACATGTGTCATGTGGAGGACATAGTGGTAAATACCATGATACCATACCCAAATACTACTTAACATCCACAGTGTGTACTAGTAACAAAAATGAGATGCCTTTTCACTATTCTATTCTCTATGTTCTGCCCTAGACATGACTCAAGAAGGGAGAGATGGATTAGCTAGTCTTCTAAAGAAAATACTTGCTGACGTGGACACACACATCCAGCATCTCTCTTCGGCCTACAGCCTGGCAATCGGACCAAATGCCCCTCAATGGCCTGATGACTCTGTGGAGAACCATGACCAAGACAGTGACATCAGTGATGACAGTGAGGAAGACCCTGATGAGGACATCACACACACCCTACCCCCACCTTGAGGAAAGGACGCTGGGGCACAGCGTCTCTCTCCCCCACCCTACCCCCTCCTTGAGGAAAGGACGCTGGGGCACAGCGCCTCTCTCCCCCACCCTACCCCCTCCTTGAGGAAAGGATGCTGGGGCACAGCGCCTCTGTCCTCCACCCTACCCTCTCCTTGAGGAAAGGACGCTGGGGTACAGCGCCTCTCTCCCCCACCCTACCCTGAAGGACACTAGGGTGTACAGCAGGGGTGGCCAACCAGTTAGAGGTTGAGAGCCAATAATTTCCCTGCATTACTGCAAAGAGCCACATCATACACATAGGCACACATGCTGGGTGTATGTCCCCCCCGCCTCTCTCTCTCCTTTCTGTGTGCTCCCTCAGTCTCTTCCTCTGTGTGCCACTCTCTCTCACACATAGAACATGAACATCTAAACATTTACAATAATTGACCCACACACTCGGACACACCCTCCCTCACACAGACACACATACCTCTGCTCAGTCAGAATTCTTGTTAATGTCACACACCATGATATTGACTGAAATGTACTTAACCTCTCCTACCAGTATTAAGACCAGAGGCCAGTTATCGTCAACCAATAACATTGTGTGCACTCTCACACACTACCTCTCACTTCAAATAATGTGAAAAAAAGTTGTTATCTTACTATGCATGTTGCTTCTTTGAACTAAGTGAACATTCTGGAATGAATTGCCTTGAACAATCCTTAAAAATGTGGCTTGTGAGGAATATGTAAACGTTTGTATTTAAAACAAACCCATGACTAAGGTTGGTTCAAACATTGCTATGTATTGTATTTTAGTTAATTATCCTCACATGATGGAGGATCTGCATTATGATTGGCTAAATCACTTCTGTGTTGAAAACTCTGTAACGATTGGCCTGGAACTTGTGTGTTGTTTACCCTTTGTGAACTGGGATACATATGCGCAAAAAAACACACAAAATTAAAATTCTATATGAATTGAAGTTCACAAACCATGGTTTACGTGTCAACTCACTAATTTCTTTGTTGATGTTCACATATCTGTTATCTGATTAAATAAATACTATTTTAGCCCACTTCCGTCCAACTGGACAGATGTTATCCAATACCCATAGTCCGACAGGTATTCGCCTGGCTTTCTTAAAGTAAAACAGGTACACAAGTTTACAAAATACATTTATTGTCATGTTTCTCACACTAGGAATGTACCATTACAACAGCATTCGTCTACATATAAGAGGCAATGTAAGCTGTGTCCAAGTTCTGATACCCATGTGCAGCATCTCAACTGGCTCATATCTTGTCTTATTAATGTTTCTCATAACTAGTTGTATTAAAATAAACTCATTTTCCATCAACCAGCTTGTCACAGGAGTCTCAATGTTCGTCACACCCTCTGAATGTACCATTACAACAGCATTCAGCTACATATAAGAAAACATACAAGTGTGTCCAAGTTCCGACACCCTGTGCAACACCTCAACTGGCTCATATCAGAATCAGAAATCCTTTATTAGTCCCACAGCGGGGACATTTCCGCTTGTTACAGCTAAAGTGACATAGCATCTAAACAAAAACGGATGCATACCACAGAATAAGCTAACATATTAATTATATTATATATAATTATATTTAAAAACAGGTCTCACAAAATACTTTAATGCAAATTAAAATGTGAAGGAATGTGTGTAATGTGGTGATTGCTATGGGTGATTGACATTATTCACCCACGGATCTATGGGTTGGGGTATTGTTCCGCACGGACATTTTAGTTAACCGGACTTCCTGTTGATGTGAAATCCGAAAACATTTAAAAAAAAAAAAATAATACTTTATTCCGAGTGTGCTTGCTTTTGTCTTTGGAGGTCATCACATAACGACATTGTAATACACGGTTCGGCTGCATTAAATATTACATATCTGCCGTAGTTCTCTATTTATAGAGCCCTGATGAGAAGACTTCTAGACAAACAGGTATAACTGCTGCCGAAACTGAATATGTGACGTGGATCATAAATATATCAGCAATTAAACAACATCTTCAATTTCTCTTCACAATATAATTCTCCTTGCAGTATCAACACTAATTCGGCTAACTTTTATATTTGATCCAATTGGTAGATAGGCTGTATTTACACCATAACGGTGCACAGCTGATAGAAGGGACACCTAGTGGTTAAATCACGTTATTGAATTTTATTATTTGTATTATTAGATATTAATAGGAGACACAGACAGACACACTAATAAAGCTTTATTTAAACATTAAAGAACACTTTAGGTTAAGGTCTTCTTTTGAATAACAAAAAAGCTTTGGGGGTAGGCTATACAGATAAATATTAAGCCTGACTAAGTACTAATATATTGCTTTCCTGCAATGTTAACTACTGCATGTGTAAGCACTTATTTTAACTGATATTATACATATGTATTATACTCTTATAAGATGTATGTAGATAGTATAAGAAATGTGCAGAATAGGCCAGTTTAATGGTGGAGGTAGACACATATTGATAGATGTCTTGTAATGCACTGTTGAGGAACCTGCGACCAAAGTTTTTCATCTTCGACCTTGTCAGGTATTGAACATTCAATACATAAAGAACACAGAATTATTAAATATAAAATACAGAATTTGTGTGATTATACTAAATGATTTACAAATAAACACCACTGCATATTTACAACTGTTACACATGCTGATGTAACGCAAATGTTTCCAACTTGGGATCAATAAAGTATATCTTATCTTAAAGGGAAATGGAAACACTTTTCAAACTGCTTTCCATGCGACAATATTCCCATTAGGAAATTTATTTATCTAGTCTATTTCCAATGTAAACGATCGAGATACGCAAATTTATTTTTGAAATACGTGCCTACGGCCCGTCTACACTACAGGCATCGAAAAAGCTTGAAGCTGGGCGTGTCTGAAGCTTGGCGATTTCTCGCGCCCAAGGCGACCAACAACCAATCACATGAATCTCCCGCCCCCGACATACAAAGCAATAGCAATGTTAAAACGAAGTAAACTGGATATAAAATCCCCAAACAGGCGAAAACCTACCAGTTTCACCCACTGTCTCTGCCCCCTCCCTCCATGCCTGGTTCCTCCGGTTTGTATCCCGGTAAATAGTTCTGGTCGGAAAGAACCGGGTGATTTGCTACCGTAATTTCTCGTTTGGAATATGAGGAAATGAACTGCGGTCTGGCTCTCCCAGTTTGCACGCGGTTTGATTGGCTAGCGCTTGTACTGGCGGGAATTGCAAAAACGGGATTTGATTGGCTGACGCCAGCTTCGAGAAAGCATCGAGCCTCAAAAGTTGAACATTGTTCAACTTTTGACGCCGATAGACGCTCGCGATGCTTGCAACGCCTTGCCATGCTACCCACAATGCAGTTCGGCGAAGTTTGAAAATATCCTACGTCACCCCATTCAAATGAATGGGCGAAGCGTTGAAAGCATTTTTTGACGCCTGTAGTGTAGACGGGCCGTTAATGACCTTGGACGCTTCCATCGATCCGGGACTTTCCCAGTGACGTCACTGTGTGGGTACGGCTTGGGCCAAAGCTCAATACAGCTGCAAACAACATGGCGTGCAATGCACCAGTGGTTTCCAACAAAAGAAAACGGCCGTCGTCAGGAGCGTATTGTACCCTCCCCGGCCAGACTGAAGGATGTACCCGGTTGGTCGCTCACCAAGATTCGCGGAGGGATTGGGACCCCGACTCTGAGCGTCAAGCCGGGAGGCATTCACCTGGGCAGCCGCATTTCCCGGCGCAGCCCCGTGGGAAGTCTCGCTGGAAAGGAAGGTAAAGCGGATAAGAGCAAACCGGCGGGCACATCATCCTCAGCCTCGTCTAAAACCGCCAACGCAGTGAAAAGCACCGGGGGTCGGCGTAAGGTTTCGGATGCCAGCACAGGCTCCGACGATTTATCTAAGGACTCCGGCTGTGCCACCGGGAAGCTCTCCCCGACCGACAGTAGCTCCGAGCTCTCGGACTGCGCCTCCGAGGAAAACAAGCTCTCAGCAGACGCTGTGAGTAGCGACGCCGAGTCGAGAAGCAGCCGAGGCGGGGGGCTAGACGGAGACAAGCCGCTCAGGGATGGCGTGTTGGCAGAAAGAGCTAGCCAACATGCCACCGCCAGGACCACCTGCTTCTCCTCGGAGAGGGACTACAAGGACCGGCTCTCCCTGGCCGTGGAGACAGGGGAAGGGAGCATATCCCCAGGCGAGGAGCGCTCAGTCACCTCGTTTGACAGCAGGGTGCCCCCCAGCGCATCCCTGGCTTTCTCAGACCTCACAGAGGAGTTTATGGACGGCATGCATGAGGAGTTTGTATGGGAAATAGAATAACTGAGATCTGAGAATGATTACCTCAAGGTAAGTCCAATATATTTGACTAAGTGTCAACTATGATTGTGACTAAATGTCCCATGGGTTTTTCAAATGACAAACATAAACAAAAGGCCTAACCGGCCTATTTTAGAATTTGGTTTATTTCATTGTAATGTTGCTTTTTGGCCTATATGCTAAAACTATTTATCATGAGCATGGTGTAATATAAAGTCAGTTGAGTTCAGTTTGTTCACTATGATTTGCTTCCTAGAGTGTAGAAATGCCTTTGGACTCCATCCAATGCTACTCACTACACTGCAGTGCTTCTCAAAGTGTGGTCCGCGGACCACTGGTGGTCCGTGAGTGCCCCCTAGTGGTCCGTGAGTATATTGGTAACATTTCACATTTGAAATACATTTATTTATTTAAGTTTTCCGCACTCTCGCGGCAATATCTCTGCAATGGAGCGAGCTTAAGTTTCACTTTCAATTGCATGATATAGTCCAAATAAACTCCTTCATCACACATGTTGCCACTTGTTTGTACCATTTTCAGGCAAGTGGTCTTGCCACTTGCCTGGCAAGTGGTCCTTGGTATGAAAAAGTTTGAGAAACACTGCACTACAGGGATGATGATGTTATGATTAGAGAGCATGCAACACAGACACATGAAACACATGAGCAAAACATGTAGCCTTGCATCCTCCACATCAATGTCATCTCCCGACGAATAGTCAAATTCATCGTTCAAAACGTCGATCTCATTGCAAAATTCCTCCATCGCTGCAATATCTGCCACGTTGTGTTGACTTCTGGTATGGATACCCGGAGCGAGGACCCACACAGTGACGTCACCATTTGGGACTCCCCTAATGGCAGCGGCCTGGTCCCGGAATTCCCCACCCGGCCGGCGGATAATTAATTGTCTTTTGGCGAGTAATATCATATACAATAAATATTACGATCAATATCCATTGTAAAATGAATAAACTACCGGAATATTATAGCTGTAATGGTGTTTCCTTTCCCCTTTAAGATGATCGATGGCTACTGCCATATTTGCAAAATTAGCCTCTGAATCTTGACAAGTGCATGTTTCAGGCTTATAAATTAACAACAGGAGGGGTCACAGACATAAGACCAGCTGTTAAATAAAGCTCTTCTGACCTTAGCTGTCATGTGGGTATATATTAATGCTGCCCATTATGGACACAAGCAATTTTCACCCATTTGTTAATTATATGTTTTACATTTGAGTGTTCCTATCCCCTAACCCTCCAGGGATGTACACAGTTTAATACTGGCAACTTCCTATTATGTTCTTAAAACGTCTTTTAAAACTACAATTCCCAGAAGAGACGTGCCATTGAACATGTTGCGAAACTCACAATAGCCAGCATGTGTAGTTCTGGGGACAGGGTGGGTAGGGTTGCCAACTTCCAGAAATGGAGAAACGGGACACATGCGTGTGCCCCCCGCGCGCCAAGATTATCGGGTTTCTGGCGGATTTAGTTACTTTTTTTTGTTACTTTATTTCGGTTTTAGGTTTAGGTTAGGGTTATGTTATTTAATTATTTTGGGGGAGCCAGCCCCCTTCGTTCGAAAATGTTTTTGGGGTCTGTGTAACTCAAACCATGCTTAACTGTGTGATACACTGATGTTACCTCACATGCAGCAACTTTGTCTTGTTCTGCAGTTGAACTGCCGAAGAATTTAGTTATATTTGATGCACCTTTATTTTGTGTTGCTCGCTTGTGCATTTCTGTGCCAGCATGCTGTTTCAGGTCGTTTTCTCCACCGTGACCTATTGAAAACTCCCTCCGACACAAGGTGCAGAAGACCCGAGACAGATCTCCTCT